TCTCTTTAATCTTAAATGTAGCTCCCCGGATCAGCACAGCCTAAAGGTCAGTCAGGGTCCCACTTTGAGCCAGGAGCTATATGTCTCTTGGGGAATTCAGTTAACACTGCAGATGTCTATGAGTCTTGTAAAATTTTACTTTCTGCATCCACAATGCTTTGTGTTCACCCAGTTTGAGAGACTCACAAGGGCCCACCTAGTCCATGGAGTGTTAGCTGTCTGGTTCCTGAATTTCCATGTTAAAATTCTGGTTGGTCTGTTGGTCTATTACTCATCCCTAACAATACTGCAACCTTAGGTTCTTTGCTATTTTGTCCTTCTATGATTGCTTGCCACTAAGATGACCACTGATGGGCTGGGGATTTAGCTCAGTGGTTCTGACGACTGCCATGCAAGTCCAAGAGCCCCAGTTCGATCCCCAGTACAAAAAAAAAAAAAAAAAAGATGACCACTGATAACATGGAATCCCCCACCACTGTGCTCCACGTAAAGGTAGCACAGCGCCCTCTGCTGCCAACATTGGTCCTAACCCTAACCCAAGGCCCAGAGCCTGTGGAAACTCTCCAGGCACCTACTGTTCTCGCTGAGATTCTGGGATTCAGCAAATCTTCTTGATTTAATACTTCTCCATTTGCTGTATGCCTTCAGTCTAATTCCCACACTCTCTGAAGGGTTGTTTTGGACAATTCCGTCAAGCTTTATCTCTGCTTCTGGAGAAGACAATGTGCTGAGATCTACACTTGGTTCATTCCAGAAAGCCTGCTCATTGTGGGAACTGCTTTCCATAGGCACAAAGGAGACAATCTACACAATACTTTAGAGTAGGAAGTGAGGCCAAAAGAAGTAAAGTGATTTTTCCAAGGTCCCATAACAGGTCTTCAGCTGAACTAAAATCACAAGCCGTCAAGCAAGCCAATGGGTCTTCCGCCTTAAAGGGGAAACGCAATGTCAAGAAACACCCACTAGAGGGCCCCCCACCCACGCCTCTCGCTCAAAAAGAATTACAGCGTAGAATCAAAACCGGCTGGCATTACTATATAGTACCGATGCCAAACAATTACAAGAAAATAAAATCAAAGGCCAATATTATTTATGTGCATAAATGTGAACATTTCAAACGAAATTTTGTAAACTGAATCAAGCAATATACAAAAACCATAATATAGCATGGCCACCTGGGGTTTTCCACAAGAATCTCAAAGTTGGCCTAACATCCAAACACCAACCAACAAAATTAAAAATTAAAAATTAAAAATGTACTATCATCTCAGTAGGCACAGAAAAAGTATTTTAAAATTCAACATCTGCCAGGCATGGTGGTACACACTTATAATCCCAGAACCTGGGAGGCTGAGGAAGGAGGATCACTGTGAATTTCATGGACAGCCTGGAATACATAGTACCAGAGAGATGCTTTCTCAATAAAAACAAAAAATCAGGCCAGGGATTTAGCTCAGTGGTACCACACCTGCCTGAAAGCACAAAGTCCTGAGTTCAATCCCTAGTACCAAAAAAAAAAAAAAAAAAAAAAAAAAAAAC